ATTGGGAGTTATACCTGATGTAAATGACGAGTTGATGGGTGCTGACAAGTTGATGGGGGCAGCACACCAACATGGCACAAGTATACATATGTAACAAACCTGCACATTATGCACATGTACCCTAGAACTTAAAGTATAATTAAAAAAAATAATAAAAAATAAATGCTGTGGTGGGAGCTTTTGAGTGGGCTCTTAGGTGGTAGACGGCCAACAGTCTGAGTTTCTGAGTGAATGTATGGATCAGAAATGTGCACCTGTCCTCTAACCTGCATTGAACATATGGTACGGGCAAGAAACAATGTGCCATGCCACTGAGATTTGGGAAGTGAACCTGTTACTGCAGAAAAACCTAGCCTCATACTGACTAATATACCAGTCACACCAAAGAAGAGCCACCTGAGCCTCCTATTTGGAAGGAGCACACTGAAGCCAGACCCGGCTCCTCTCAGCTCCCTCCCATGCAGCTAGATGAGAGCTGGGGAGAGCTAAGAGGAGCAGTGTTGAGACAGAGCTTGTTTTTACAGAACTTTTATGGATTTAAACTCAGCTAATATTGGCAACCTCTTCCTTATCCTGTAAAGAAATTCCTATGAAGAAATGGAACAAATAAGAAACGAACAAAGTTCAATAAAGGACAAAAAAGAAGACTCAGTTTATATGTGAATACCAAACCGTTAAAAGCTGTGAGATACAGATCATTCTCTATGATCCATACTTTTTTATTTTTGCTTAATTTGGAAATTAAAGAGGACAAAGAAGAAAAAAGCAATCACATACTTCCACTGCCCAGATTTAACCTGTTATATTTTAGCATACTAGTGTCCTCTCTATTTCTATGTATATACTTCTGCATATGAAAAATTATACAACGATATGAATACATTCATTTAAAAAATAAATTAGAACATTATAGAGAAGTTTAAGGTCCCTTTGAGGCCAATATAACATATTATCATTATGATGTTGGTTTATATTTTTCTGGTCTATTTTCAATATTTTTATATACACACATATGAATATCTATGAAATGGAAATTTATACAGCTAGAAATTCATAATAAGGTACTATTTTGCAGTCTGCATTTTCTCTACATAGCCCTGTGGTAGAGAAAAGCAACACCGAGGGGAGGTAGAGTGGGACCAGCTCAGATGGGACCATGGCCAAACGAGGCTAAAGGAGATGTGAGGGAAAACACGGATGACTAACCTCTATAAGATCACAACAGTTACACTTCCAGGCTGGTCTCAAACTCCTGGGCTCAAGTAATCCTCCTGCCTCGGCCGCTCAGAGTGCTAGAAATATAAACGTGAGCCACTGCACCTGGCCAAGGGTGACTTTTATTTGGTTCAAAATAGCATGTCTACTTGTCTCTTGAATTTACTGTGGCAATGAAGCCAGAAGCCAGACTCCCAGGATGACAGAAGCCCGGGAGAGACAGATGGAATTCATTCCCAGACACGCAGAGAACACCCAGGTAGAGCACACTGTGTGAGGAAGAAATTGTTAACACCTTATGACATGAAAATGCAGAAGAATTTTGTAATTCTGAAGAATTCCTACAAAATCTCAGAAGGAACTTATGTGGCCGATTTGTGTTCAAGTCTATGATTCAGTGGGACACAGTTTCATGTGCCTGTGGTCACATCAAGTTTGCTTTGCCAAACACAGTGCGGAAAGCACTGATTATTTTTGCCACATCGTGGTTGACTTAAACAAAGTAGCTAAAAAAATGGGAACAACGTGGAGAAAGTGGTTCCTGCCATCACGCGACTCTCTGGGGAGCTCTCAGGGCACTCTCTGTGTTTACCTGTCCCCACCACTTGACATATACCTTTGCAATGATCTGTTTACTTGCCTGTCTCCCCAATATCCTTGAAGCCAGGGACTGTGTCCTGTTCATCATTGTAACCCCTCTGCCTGGCACAGAGATGACCGACCATGTTTATGAAATGAATGAATGAATGAAGAATAAAGTACGTCCTTTCTAGAGTAATTCTCCCTTGCCTACGTTAAGCCCACTTCTTTATGTGTGAGGAAATACATGGCTGCATTACAGAGCATACAGAAATAAATGATTGCCTCATTCAATAATGAACTAGGACCAATAATAAAACTGCCTGTTGTTCCTTAGTTACTGCTCTGCCACTAGCCCAATTTGTTAACTGACTACATTAAAGATCTAATTTAATTAAATCTTGAACAAAGCTCAGAAGATCTACAGAGAGCACTTTGCTTAATTACAGGCGGGGTTCAAGCACCAATCCTATTGATCTGGTCAGTTAAAATTCTATACAATGAATGTGGGCAAAGAAAAAAAGAAAGTGGTCCCAGCTGCTCGTCAGGGAACTTTGATGAACTGTGGATTCAGAGCTGCTATAAAGACAGCAAAGGCGAACGAGCCTTGTACTCTGTACTGTCACAGGGATAAACAGAAAATGGCACCTCAGTTGCTCTGCAGAGCTACACATCGTGAAGAACAGAAGACAATGACAACCACAAAGGACAGATCCCTCCTGAGGGAAATAAAGCACACTTGGTGAGTGGACGGGTGGCGGCTGGAAGAAGACTTTCGACACTTAAAGTCTAGTAAACAGGCATTCAAATGCATCTAGTACACTTTTTGAGATCCACACTCGTTTTGAAATAGAAAGACAATTCATGGTATGTATATACATTCCTGAGAGTATCTCTAGTTGAGGAAGAAATAAAAGTTAACATCATTTGAAGGTAACTGAAATAAAAACTATATAAAACCACACTAGTTGCACAAACTTATAAAAGGTAACAGATGTGACTGGAAGAAAGGTTTTGACTAAAATGTGTCTATGTGTGTAGGCCTGTATGTGTGTGTGTGTAATTATCCAATGTCCACATTAGAGTTCTTCAAACATCTAAGGATTCCTATTTAAAAAAATGACTGAATGCCAAAGACTCATAGGGACTTGGCAGGTCAGGCTATGCATGACCCAGGCAGTCTGGCCCCACAGCCCTGGTACCTAGTGCAGTGCCTCCGCACTGTGCTATTCTAAATACTGACCTCCAGAGTTGGAGAAAACAATGGAAAGTGGGGAAGGGGACTTTTTACTTTTTGCTAGTCAATCAAGGGCTGGCAAATCAGAGAAGAAAATTCATTCTAAACCACAATATGTAGTTACACTGAACACCAACAATTTCCCTCACAAAACATGCACCATCAGAATGCACACGCTAAGAGTAAGTACATACCTAATTAGGGCATCAATCATAATCATCGGGGAGTGTAACCCAGGAAATTACAGGTGGCGTGAGCTTTAGTGCTAAGCAAATTTCGTCATGTTGCCCAGATAAAGCCTTTGCTGACTGGGATGATTTACACCTGCTGATGCAAGGATGGAGACTGGCATCCGATATAGCTGCATACTGAAAATATGCTTATGCACGTGAGTTAAGACAAAATGATGTTCAGATATGAGAGGCAGTAGTGCCAGCCTTTTAATTATGACATTAGCACACATGAAGAAGAGTTGATAACATTTAAAAATAGTAATTTCTTCCATATTTTTCAAATGAGGAAGAGTTGATAACATTCAAAAATAGTAATTTCTTCCATATTTTTATATAATGGCAAGTAAGAACACTTACAAATGGATTAAAAACAAAACGATGTACACATCCCAAGATTGTTGAAGGATAGAAGAGCAAGTTATTTACAAGGTCTTTTTTACGGCTAAGGGAGCAAGAGCAATGGTGAAGGATGATGAGACCCACTAGATGTATTTTTCCCTTTTTTTTTTTTTTTGAGATGGAGTCTCCCTCTGTTGCCCAGGCTGCAGTGCAGTGGCATGATCTTGGCTCACTGCGACCTCCACCTCCCGGGTTCAAGCGATTCTCCTGCCTCAGCCTCTCAAGTAGCTGGGTCTACAGGCACACAGTACCACGCCCGGCTAATTTTTGTATTTCTAGTGGAGACGGGGGTTTCATCACATTGTCCAGGCTGGTCTCGAGCTCCTGACCTTGTGATCTGCTTGCCTTGGCCTCCCAAAGTGCTGGGATTACAGGCATGAGCCACTGCGCCCAGCCAGTATTTTTCCCCTTCTAAGTCAACTTTATCTGTGTACAAAATTAGCAGTCAGAGCACAACTAGAAAACAAGCTTCTAATATTGCCAAGACGGAGAAAGAGAGTCAAGTAAGTCTAGTAATTCAAAGTGAAGTTCAGAGGGAAGTGTTTGAGGAATTCATTGCTTTACCCCCCTACCCAATCATAGATCAAACTCACAGCCAAACACAGAAGTGTTTGTGGGTTCCCGGGAGTAAAAACTTCATCTTGGAAAAACTAAAGGCTTTAACAATTCTGCCAAACATTTGTATCCTGAAACATCACCTCCTTCAGTAATGGATACATGTCCTAAACAAAATGGTACTCAAACTAGATCAAGCCCTAGGGTGAATAGCAGGAGTCACACATACACATCTGTAAACACAGAGACACACACATAATATGCACGCTTAAAGAGATACACATACATACATGCACACAATGTATTTTAACTTCAGTAAGTCTGCACCAGGAGAGATGACAGTCTACATTAGATTCAGTATAAGTAAATGAGAGCAGGTGCTATAAAGCTAAATAAAATTTTATAGAAAAAAATTAAAAGGGGCAAATTCGATATTTTTTTCAAATTCTAAAGACTATTAGTTTATCTTAAAGAACATTTTAATTGAGCTTAGAAAAGACATGTTTACCCTGGAAAGTCTAAAATCTCTGCCCCGATGTAATTTTATCAACCAGTCAGATTTAAGATTCCAGAGAAATGTGTGTGTTTTTTTTTTAAATCTTACCTCTACATCTTAGCGATTCCAAACTACTTTCAAGAACGACTTCATAACAAGAAAGACACAGTGATTCCCAAGATTACAAATGCCACAAAATTCTCACGGTGCCCTTGGTGCTACACACCAGCCTCTCTCAGCCCCATGCCCGGGAAGGGCCTGGCCATTATGGATGCAGCACGCTTACCCTCCTCCGGAGCCGGTCCCGCTCTTCCCGGATGGCATTCATGGTGGCCTTGGTCCGGTTCAGCTCTTCCTCTTTGCTGCACAGCATGGCGGTCAGGCTCTCATTCTCTTCCCTCAGCCCAGCCAGCTCCTTCTCCCACTGAGACCTCTCTTCAGCCAGGTTAGGATACAGGTCCCGGCCAAGCACCCCCTCAATCTCCTCAACTGTCTGTAAAACACAGCCCCAAAGAAAAGTCAAGTAAGTTACCTTGGAGAAAGGGGATGGGAAGAAAATAGGCTGAACAGGAATAAATGTCCACAGAGGAGTGTGTTCTAGAACCACTTTGTTATTAACAGTGATCATGACTAGGGATACCCCAAAGTTATCCTGTTCCCAATTTCAGATAAGGCTCTGTCACTTGCCTGGGGTACAGTCTGTGTTACCCAGCAACCTTCAGAGTAAGAAAAACAGTGAGTCCTCTCCTAGCAGCTGAGTCTGTCTGTGGTGCTAGCTGACACATCCACACAATGCTTATTTCCTTCACTTGAGTTCTAGAGTTGGTGGATACACACAGCCAGGCAGAAGGCCATTTAGTGATCCTGGTAATGTGAGGACAAACATGAGGTTGTAAACTGCATACAAAATCTAACTTGAAGCTTCCTAAATTATAGGCCTCCCACGTGCCAACTCAGCGATAAGATAGGTCACATTACCATTTCCAGCTTTTAGTGCCACATCCAAATTCAGATGGTGCAAATGAGGTTCAGTCTCAAGATGTGAAAGGCAAAAATAAACCTCAATGACACAGAAAAGAGGAAGCTCATTGTGGAGATTTCTAAGACAGCAGGGATTAAATTAATTAATAACACAGCTTCAAAATGGAAAGGAAAATCTTAGTAGCACATACAGAGCTTTAAAAAATTCATTTAAAAACATTTAAAGGAGAAGAAACATGCTTAATATTAGGAAAGAAAAGGAAGAAGTCATTCCGCTTCACATTTACTGTCCTTTGAAAAAGGAAGCACAAGCCAGTGGATAATGAAAGAAGAGGGAGAATTACTATGCAGAATACTATGTGAAGAGATGGGATAAGAAACAGAAGGCTGGCCGGGTGTGGTGGCTCACACCTGTAATCCCAGCACTTTGGGAGGCCCAGGCGGGTGGATCACCTGAGGTCAGGAGTTCAAGACCAGCCTGACCAACATGGTGAAACCCTGTCTCTACTAAAAGTACAAAAATTAGCCGGGCGTGGTGGCGTGCACCTGTAATCCCAGCTACTCGGGAGGCTGAGGCAGGGAGAATCACTTGAACCTGGGAGGTGGAGGTTGCAGTGAGCTGAGATCACGCCACTGCACTCCAGCCTGGGCGACAGAGTGAGGCTCCATCTCCAAAGAAAAAAAAAAAAAAGGAAGAGAAGAGAAGAGAAGAGAATGCCTCAAATACTAAAAAACATAAGGGTACATCACTCTTAGATGCTCATGTTGGTTCTCAAATCTTGCTGCCCCTTTCTCCATGTGCTGCTTTGTCCTTCCTTTAAGTCTGGAGACTCTCATCCTACTTGGCTCTGCTCCAGACCCTGTGGCTTTGTCCCTAGATGGTTGGTAGAGGCCCTTGGCCTCCTCCTTCCCTCTCAACCCCCAGGCTGGGGCTAGACCCAAGTTGACATCAAAATCAAATATAGGGCCCAGGAGATTCCAGAGAAAGAAACACCAGCAATTGCTTCTCCCTGCCCTGAACCACATCAACTACATATTTGCAATTAAGATGCAGAAAGATGGAAAACCAGCAGTGCTACAAACATGCATCATGGTTTACCTTGTGACACCACAGTTCTTTTGTGCAATCCAGGATTCCTACTGATAGAAACTTGGGCCTACATTTTCTCTTTATGGGCTCCTCCTAGACTTTTAAATTTGAATTGCTATGCCCAGGTCACTAACTTATGTCAAAGGAATATCAAGGTACTAGAGGCCTAGTATCAACAAGCCTTGACTTTCCCGTCATTCACAATGAGTTTGTGCAGATGCAACAAATTCCTCTCACCATCTCAAACAGCAAGAGGAATTGATGAATGGACTCCTGAAATTGTATTCTAGAGGCCTTAGAGCTTTTCCAAAACTTACAGCTTAAGAGTGCTCTATGATGAACCACACTAAAATGACATGGTTCAATACTAGCAGTCGAATCGTTTCCAAGTAAATTGTCCTTTTTACTGCAAAGCCAGTGAACCTGACTGCTGACATCATGACTTTTTCTGAAATAATTCAGCCCAACCAAAATTTCTAGGGTCCCCATTTCTACCCCATGGCCCAATCTATTGTATGGCTCTCATGGAAACTTTCATCCCTAGTAAGTATTTAAGAAAACTGCACTTCAAGAGAAGGATTGGACCATTTCCCTTTGAGAACCTCATAGGGCCTCACAGAGGGCAAGGAAGGTCTACCTTAATCGCCAGGTCGCAGTGCTCGCTGGCCGTGGTGAGCTGCTCGATGTGCCTGTCTACCTCGGCCACGGAGAGGCTACAGCTGCTCTTCTTTCTGCCGCAGACGACATTCTCCAGCCCCGTCAGCACCCTCTGCAGTTCTGAGTTCAGGTCACTGCAGTTGTCTGTGAGTGAACGAAGACAAAATGTGTTACACAGGGCAACAAATGCTCTCTGTTTTGCTTACCATGAGGGACCCATTCAGGTAATGGGACGGCAATGGAGCTTGACATTTCAAAGCTCATGCCAGCCTGCCTAACCTCACAGGCACTGTCTCTGAGGCTTGGAGCCAGTGCAAAGCTCTTTTTATTAAGCAGTTTCAGACGATGGTCATTTTCTGAATTCTCTTGTCTTTCACTCAAAGCAGCCACATCTTGAGTTTCTTTAGTAAGAACAAAGAAACACCCAGAAGAGGCTGTTGGCACTTCCAGAGCCTCTGGTCAACCTGTCTGCTCAGTCATTCAGACAAGCACTAACTGTGGAAAGATCCCGTAACTTTACTAAATGTAACAAAAAGTCTCAGAATGTGCAGAGATGCTAGGTATTTTGAAAAATAGAAACTGTGTAAGAGATAGTCCTCGCCCTCAATGAGCCTAAAACTAAGACTTTTCCATGACAGGACCAATCAATATGCTCCACCGTTGCAATTTAATCCATGTTCTTTCATCGGGGAAAAAAAAACTGTTCTAACAAATTCCTTATTGTTCTCCAATAAGGCAACCAATTCTAATCATTTGATTTTGACTTAAAAACTTGGGTTGCTTTGAATTGCTGGACATCCAGGGCCTGGTCAGAGAAGTAAAAAAATAATTATAATGTGACCCAGATGTATCTCAGAAGACAATTTTGTTGGGGAAAAAAAACTCCCCTTAAAGTCAAATACAAAGTTTGTAACCAGCTATTTTGGATTCTGTCTATCGCCACGCCATTCAATTATTGTTGCAGGGCAGATGCTGACTGATTATATGTAATCTTTCAGAGTATATTCTTCCCCTACATCCAGCCTGACCCTGCATGAAAGTTGCTCGGTATCTTCCATTTTCTTCTTCTCTGCTGCATGCTTCTCACCACAGGTTCCATGGACTAAAATGGTCAACTGCTTTTGGGACTTACCTTTGGAAGGCTTCAAGAAAACTCTTGGCACAACAGGAACAGGACTTCTCAGAATGTTTTAGTCAACCTCATCTGGCCGCCTCTATCTGTAAATTACCTAAATCTAGAGAGATCAGCCTAAGGCTTTCACTCCAACCAGTACACACAACTATTCCACCTACTTCTCAAACCTGTTCCTCCCCGATCTCTCTCATTTCCATGAATAGCACCTCTATCCACCCAGTTACTCAGGTGAGCTCTGAGGCAACCTTCCATGCCTTTGCCTGACATACTAAATCCAATTCATCTTGTGACCACAACCTCCAAAACTTATCCTCAAACTGACCTCTTATTAGCATCTCTACTGATACGATCCTGCTTTAAGCCATCATCATCTCTCAACTGGACCACTGTAAATCTCCTACCTCCACTCTCCCTGTGGTCACCAAAGTTAGCCTCCTAAAAGCGCAGATCAGAACAAGTTATTTTTCTAGCTCAAACTGTCTAATGGCTTCCCATCATCATTCATGTAAAGTCCCAACTCCTTACCAGAGTCTGTAAAACTCTGCATGATCAAGACTGATGTGCTCAGTTCAGGCTGCAACATGTTCCTGGGGAGCTTTTATAAACTACGGATGCCCAGGCCCCACCCCAAACCAATCACAATCACAATCTCTGGGGGTGGGGCTTGCACAACGGCAACTTTAGGTTCCTCAGGTAATTCTACTGTGCAGTCAGAGTGAGAACCACTGATCCGATCTTGCCTCACCCGACCACCTTCCCCTGTTCACTATGCTCCATTCACACTCCTTCCCCTCATTCACTATGCTCCATTCACACTCCTTCCCCTCATTCACTATGCTCCATTCACACTCCTGGCCTTCTTTCTTCCCCTGGAATATGCCAAACTCCTGTCTGCTCCACGGGTTCCTTTTCCTTTGCTGTTTCCTTTGTCTAGGCTGATTTTTTAAAATTTTAATTAAAAAAATAAAAATAAAAACCCTCCTTTTTAGAGACAGGGTCTTGCTCTGTTGCACAGGCTGGAGTGCAGGGGTACAATCGTAGCTCACTACAGCTTTAAACTCTTGGGCTCAACCTATCCTCCTCCCACCTCGGCCTCCCAAGTAGCTGGGACTACAGGTACACATCACCACAACCAGCTTGTGTTTTTATTTTTGTGCAGAAATAGGGTCTATGTTGCCCAAACTGGTCTCAAACTTTTGGCCTTAAGCGATCCTCCTGCCACAGGCTTCCAAAGTCCTGAGATTATAGGCATGAGCTACCATGCCTGGCCAACCAAATTTCTACATATTGTTCAGCTCTCAGCTCAAATGCTACCTCCCAACAAGCTCTTCCCTATCTAAAGCATGGAGTTTCACCTCCTCCCTTGCCCAGTCCCTATCTTCTTATCCTATTTTTTTCATGGCAATTATCGCTATCTGATTTGACTTATGTGTTTGTTTTCTCTCCTCTACTAAAACATAAGCTCCAGGGAAGAAGGGACTTTGATCTTCCTCACCATTGTATCTCCAACACAGAATAGGGTAGGCAGTCAAATATTATTTTTTAAATGAGCAAAGGGAAACACCACATCACCATTTATTTAATAAACAGGAAGGCTATAAACAGACTCTATAACAGTGTGTTTTCCTTTTTCTTTTCTTTTCTTTTTTTTTGAGATGGAGTCTCACTCTGTCTCCCAGGCTGGAGTGCAGTGGTGCAATCTCAGCTCACTGCAAGCTCCGCCTCCTGGGTTCAAGCGATTCTCCTATCTCAGTCTCCCGAGTAGCTTGGAATACAGGTGTGTGCCACCACACCTAGCTAATTTTTATATTTTTAGTAGAGATAGGGTTTCACCATGTTGGCCAGACTAGTCTCGAACTCCTGACCTCAATGCTTTTGTTCCTTGTTATGGACCTCGACCTGAGCTGCTAAGAACTAGTATGCTCATCACTGCAGAGGCCCTCTGGAGATGGAGGCAGGTGGACACCACCCACTGGAGGCAAAGGACCCAAGTGAGGAGCAGAACTCCTCAGAGAACACACCAACCAGCCTCTGAATGACCATGTACCCTCTGGTGCAGGTCTCCTGGTATCCAGAGCTGGTGTGAATACGCTCTCCTGAGTTACGTGCATTAAGTGCTCATGAGTGAGATGCTCATGAAATATTCAGACATTCTGTGCTGATTTCCCTAGCACAGGTCCACCTGATGCAATAATCACACTGGAAATGTCTGCTGAGGGGCTCTCACAGCAGGGCCGGAGGGGTGGCAACAGTTGCTTATTGAGGGTGCTGGGTTACAGGCAGCAGGAAGAGGGGCTAGGCACGTGACCAGTATTTCTTTCTCATACTTAAATTAGGCAGTTGCTGAGCCCTGACTCAGGCCAGAAGCAGAGTGCAAAGACGGGTAAGAGACTAACCTTAACTGTGAGAGACTCCCAGATTTACAAGGCCACTGCCCCGCCTCTCTGCTGCCCACCACTACTGTAAGGAAAGTAACCATAGAGGCCAGGCGCAGTGGCTCACTCCTGTAATCCCACTACTTTGGGAGGCCAAGGTGGGTGGATCACCTGAGATCAGAAGTTCAAGACTGGCCTGGCTAATATTGTGAAACCCCATCTCTACTAAAAATACAAAAATTAGCCAGGTGTGGTGGCACACACCTGTAATCCCAGCTACTGGGAAGGCTGAGGCAGGACAATCGCTTGAACCCAGGAGGTGGAGGTTACAGTGAGCTGAGATTGTACTCCAGCCTGGGCAACAGAGCAAGACACAACACTCTATCTAAGAAAGAGAGAAAGAGAGAAGGAAAGAAGTAAAGAAAGGAAGAAAGAAAGGAAGAAAGGAAGAAAGGAAGGAAGAAAGGAAGGAAGAAAGGAAGGAAGGAAAGTGGCCAGGTGTGGTGGCTCATGCCTGTAATCCCAGCACTTTAAAAGGCCAAGGCAGGCAGATCACGAGGTCAGGAGTTTGAGACCAGCCTGACCAACATGGTGAAACCCTGTCTCTACTAAAAATACAAACATTAGCAGAGCACAGTGGTTCATGCCTGTAATACCAGCTACTCAGGAAGCTGAGGCAGGAGAATCGCTTGAATCCGGGAGGTAGAGGTTGCAGTGAACTGAGATCGAGCCATTGCACTACAGCCTGGGTGACAGAGGGAGACTCCGTCTTTTAAAAAAAAAAAAAAAGAAAGAAAGGGAAGTAACCATAGGTAACACAGTGCAGACACAAGACAGAGAGTTGGCAAGATGTGAGGTCATTTATGTTGATGCACAGACTCTAAAGAGTATCTGTCCTTCAAATCAAGAAGGGCTACACATGCTTTCTTTGGTCACAGGAAGCTGAATGTATAAAAACACAGGTGGGGTGATGAGCCCCACAAACTCCAGTTTGTGCTGCAGAGCTCTGCACTGTGGCTTCACACAGGCCCATCAGTGCACTGTGGCTTCACACAGGCCCACCAGTTAGCACTTGGCTGTCCATTGCTATTTTTCCCTGTTTGGAGCCTCACGGGAGGATGAGGAGACTGGGCCACCTGGAGCAGGTATTCTGTGTCCCCTGTCAAGGTACTACCTCAAGGTACCAAGCACTCATCACCACTCATCCCCAGCATCCACATGGCTCCAGAGAGAACTGTCTTTCAGAGTCTGTGGCATAAGGTGCCACAGTAGGTCCTAAGTATGGGAGCAGAGTTGCTGAATCATATGGTAATTCTATGTTTAACAAAAACAACGAAAAGCAATGACTCAAATAATTGTACCCCAACGTTCATAGCGGCATTATTCACAGTAGCCAAAAGGTGGAGTAGCCCAGGGGTACACTGACAGATGAAGGAACAAAATGTGGTCTCTTAATACAACGTAATGTTATTCAGCCTTAAAAAAAGAAATAAAATTCTTTTACATGCTACAACATGAACCTTGAAAACATTATACTAATTAGAATAAATCAGACACAACATGACAAATATTTCCACTAATACGAGGTATCTAGAAGAGGCAACTGCGGAGACAGGAGATAAAGTTTACCAGGG